AGACAACAAAAAGGTAAATTGCTAGAATTTGATCATACCAGTCCTAAAACAATAAAACCAATAAAAGCTAATAAAAGCAAAAAATATAAAAATCATAAAATAGCAGAAAGTAGTAAAATAAACAAAAGACACAGAGGACCACATGACTTGCACAGTGTTAAAAGCCAGAGAATAAAAAATGGGTTTTAAGATGAGACTTAAAACACTCCACTGTGGGGGATGTTGTGACGTTGGGAGTTCCAGATTTTGGGCCGGTCACAGAGAAGACCCTGTCCCCCCTGTTTTTAAGTCTCATTTTAGGCACCACTAAGCTGGAGCTGGCCCTTGGACCTCAAAGCGTGTGGGTGTAAATCTGGATGAGGTCTGAGACGTACTGTGGGGCTAGTCCATTCAAAGCTTTAAAAACAAACAATTAAACCTTAAAATCAACTCTAAAACGAACTGGAAGCTGCTAAAATCTGAGTAATGTGCTCACGTTTTTTGGTTCCAGTTAAAAGGCAAACTGTAAGTGAGTTAAAGTGTCTTGCCCAAGAGTACAACGACAGTATTCATTTGTGACAGCTGGAATGACACTGCAAATGTATGGGTTAATGGATCTGACCACTTAAAATATTGTGATATCATATCGTCAATAATATCGTGGGCTGTCATAATATATCGAATCACAAGTTCCTTTCCTTAAATGCATGGTTTTACAGTAGCAACAGCTTATGAACAGAGGGAACTACATATCCCATGATTCATTTCAGTGCAGACAACATATATAGAAATATGTTTTTTACTTGAATTCTTGGGATTATTACAGTAATAATTCACACAAAAATCTTGTCAAGGTATTTTAAAAGCAAAATAAAGTGTCCCATCTACAATTATATTAGCCTCCTCAAAATATCGCAATAAATATCGTACCGTGAGATGCGTATCACGATAATATCATACTGTGAGATTTGGACATCGTTACATCCCTGCTTACAATGCATTTTATAATTTTTGCATAGATGGGTCGCTATAAACAAACTCACATCTTTCCAAAATGTTGTTGTAAATGTACAGTTCCAAAATAAATGGAAGATCTGAACCACTAAACAAAAATTATTCTGGGAGCATAAGCATCCACAGATGAAATGATCTTTTTATAGTCTTAGTTTTCTATTTACTGATTAATTTAAGGTAAAATATTATCTCTTTTTAATGGGAAAAAAGTGTTAAAATTGCTTTTTATAACATGAAGTCAAAATCCATAAATAGTAAGGATTGGAAGTTTGATCCCACAATATTCCCAAGCCCTCAGGCAAGACACTGCATCCACATCAACTGTGATAATGAAACAACTCCTATTCAACATAAAAACATCTCTTTTACTTTTAGAGTTATGTCTGACACAAAAGACCTCTCTTAACAGAGTTGCGGTGTCTGCTCCATGGAACAATCACCATGGTTGATTGAGGAACCTTTTCAGTTGATAACTACCAAAAATAGATGAATAGAATCGACGCTTTGTAAGAATTCTCCTGAGTCACACCAAAAGCTTCTTGCAGAAGAAATGAACTGAATATTTTCCTCAACTATTTCCCATTCATTCTGTCCTCGAAACCTTTTTTGTCAGCAATGCCCTGTGTCAAACGAGCCATGATTTCAGTTTTTGTGATACTTTGAAAACTTAGCCTGTCTGGTAAATGTCTCCAACCACGCATAAATCTGGACTTTATGATAATTTATACAATAACAACGCCACATAAACCTTGCAAAAGACGCTCGGCTGGATCAGACCTAGAAAGGAAAGTGCAATAACTAAATATACCCCCATTTTAATCATTCACGGGCTCCACTGTTATAGCAAGCTTCTCCCTGAGACAAAGAGCGCACTATATGAGGCACATCCTGACATTTACTTTGCACCTCTGCCACTTCTGCCGGAGATATGATTACGCTTCGCCTTTGTCTTCCTCGCATTTAATTACTCCACATAAGACCAGCGCCGTCTACCCTCTCGCGGTGATGTCACGCATGAACCGAGCGCTCCCATTGGCCGTCACCCCGTCGAGGCTGGCGCTACGGTCGGAGGAGCTGACAGGATCCAAGTATGATGGATGAGGCACGGCGAGTTGTGTTTCTTTCCGGGTGGGGGGGGTCCAGGGGTAGAGGGGTAGAGGGGAGAGGGGAGGGGCGCCATATTGGGGAGGTGGTAGCGGCTTGGAGGGTCCCGCGGGATTAGCGTTACAGCCCAATGAAGCGCTTCACAGAGGAGCAGGGCCGGGACCCCATCGACCGCTGGAGATGGTCGGCGCGTAAAAAAACACACACGCTCAGAGGAGATATGATGACTGCATCTCCCATATGAGGAAGAGGGGTGTAGAGAAATGTCCACTTTCAGACAATAGTATTCGAAGCTATAGGGGATATGAGGGCAGTAAGAAAGACTTTATTTTGGTGTGATTGTCGGGAACTCTACAGTGGAATACTGTGTTGGTTGAAGATGTTAAAGGTCCTGTATTATGATAAATTGAGTCTTCTGAGCTTTTGTCAAGGTGAAATGTTTTTACCTCGTCAAAAACATACCCGGAGTTGTGTTTTGTTTCATTCACACACATTTGAGTAACCATTTATTATTAGCCTGTCTGCATCTCCAAAGCTCAAAATTCCACCTTTTGATGTCATGAAGTGGTAGTTTTCAAGTTAACAGCTTCCTTTAACCTTTTGTTAGAGACTGGTGATCCAAGGGGTGAAATCATCCAAATGATTCTACTGAAGGTGTAAGTAAATTCAAATCCAAATCCCCTTTATTTCTATTGCACATTTTACAGACAAAGCAGTTTCCAAAGTGCTGCACAGAGATCATAAAATGAAGACAACAAAAAAGGTAAACTGATCAAATTTGGTCAGTCCTAAAATAACAAAACCAGCAAAATAAAAGCAAAAAACATTTTAAAAAAATCATAAAATAGCATCAAAATAAAATAAGTAAAATAAATAAAAGTTACAGAGGACCACACAACTCACGCGGTGTTAAAATACAGAGAATAAAAGTGAGTTTTAAGATGAGACTTAAAACACTGTGGGGGCTGTTGTGTGTCGGGGGGCAGAGTGTTCCAGAGTTTGGGGCCGGCCACAGAGAAGGTCCCTGTCCCCCCTGGTTTTAAGTCTGAGTTTTAGGCACCACAAGCTGGAGATGGCCCTCAGACCTCAAAGCATGCGGGGGTGTAAATTTGGAGACGTGCTGTGAAAAACAAACAATAAAATCTTAAAATCAGCTCTTAAAAGAATGAGAAGCCAGGGCAACGCTAAAATCAGGGTAATGTGCTCATGTTTTTTGGCTCCAGTTTAAAGGCGAGCAAAAGATTTTTTTCCAAAACACAGTGGAGAGCTTCCTGTATAACCACATGACATCACAAGGTGGGATAGAGTGTTTTCTGAAAAGAAGAGAAGAACTCAGCTTTAATATGCAATGTCTGTGTGTTAAACATGTGCAAATAAAACACACAACTAAAGGGAGGTTTGTTTGATGAGACATTAGACTACAAACCCACAGCCCTATTCTTTTTAACTACACACATTTTGACTTTAAAATGCTGAGGGAAGAACATTTCAAATTGTACGTCTCTTTGATTTCCAAGTTCCATTTTCAGTCCATAAAAAGCTTTAAGAGCACACAAAGCAACCATGTTTGCTATGCTATTTCCATTTTAGACCCAGACAAAACGCCTTTTACAACTCACACGCAGTTACACATCCACAGTAATCCCCCCGAGACTTAACCATTCAATCAAGTGCAAACTCCCTCTTCAGCTCCAGTCCATCCATCTCCACTGTCTCAGCCTGATTCATTTCATTTACCAACTCTTCTCTCTCTCTTCTCGCTGTCTATCTCTCACAACCTTCAAGAAAAAAATAACGACAAGTCAAAAAGAGAGAAACTTTCCTCCGCATAACTCACCACATGTCTGCATTTGTGCACCGGCGAACATTGTACACACAATGGATATGCCTCCCCAGGGTCGACGCACACCAGCTTCGGCAGATTTATGTAGAAATTCAAGAAAGGGGTCAAGGAAAGGCCAGAGACATCGCTATACTCATCAGTGCATTAGCTGTTGCTTCTCAGTAATACAGCAGTAATGGGTGGTCGGGTTTCAGACTGTTGGCACGGTTCCACTTGTTGGATCTAAAGTGGCAAAATAAAGATTTGTCTAGTCAAGTATTGAGTTATTTGTCTTTTATTTTGCATAATAAGGATGCTTTGTGTGATTCATTTCAATATCAGTTTGTCTGTCAAGGGAATGCAGATGGAAACTAGACTGTTTTTTTAATAAAACTTGGCAGAAGATATCACATTCATATTAAGATGCATTCAAGCTTTACTATGTCTATTGAGAAAATTCAAGCAGATGTGGTGAAAAATGCTGTCTTTTTCAAGGTTGGTATTTTTTCATAATATTCTACAATGAAAGTGATAATGTTGCGTGTCAGGAAAATTTGAGCAAAGTACATTATGATATTTTCAGCAAAATAAACTACATTTAAATGTGCACTATTGAAATGTTAATCCTATGCCTGGAATTTTCCACGGCATGGCATTTAACGTACCTACCTCGATGGAGACAAGCACTCCATGAACTCCAGTTACCAATTTGTTAGAGGTAAGCCCCCTGACAATAAGAATGCATTTTTGTTCAAGGTATTTTTTTAATAATCAGGGTTAAGGTTAAGACTTTATAGCTCCCAAAGGGAAATGGTCATCTGCATTTGCCCCATCCCCTCCACAAGGGAAATGACTTGGTTGCTCAGTAGCTCACACATTACAATATATTATAATAACAAAAAGAAAAAAATATAATTGTAAATAAGTTGCAAAAATGTGGTGTCAAATAAGGTATAATTCTGAGACTACATGTTTAATGGGAGAAACTGGAGGAAACCCAACCAGACCTGCGGAGAAACACAAACTCCACACAGAAAAGCTTGGAGGACCCGGAAATGACCCTAAATCCTTCTTACCTCACAGCAAGAAGCGAGAGTGCCAGCTGCTCAGACACCGTGCCACATCTCCATGGAGACAAGCCGGTAGCAGCCCCTCTTCCTAAAAAGTTACACAGTGCACCTTCAGGTGGTACCGCAGTCTCATCTAGTTTGTACATGTTGCTACAGCTCTGTTTCCTTTTTACAATATCATTCGCTTGAAATTTGGGAGCCACAACCCTCTTTCATTCTGTTACAAAAAATATTATTATTCTAAGGTTATGTCAGTTATGTTTCATTTCATCCCGCGGTGAACCCTCTCTTGCATTTTATCTTCACCCTCTGGCTGCGTATCCCCAGTGGTGCGGCTGGTGAGGAGTGGGTGGACACTCCAAAAGGCTTCTAACCCAGTTCAAAGGTTCTTTTATGGAAGAGAGGCCTGCTCCACCTGAGAGCGCCGCTCAGGAACCCGGCCTCATTTCTCCCAAACAGATGAAACATTTCCGTGTCGACATAACGCGCCCGGGATGTGAGAGCGATACATGTGGAATAAAAGATGAAAACGATGAGAGCTTTCAAAAGTTTTGTCCCGATGTGACTGTGCATACTCACTCATATCTTTTGTATGAAGATTTCTAGTCATTTTGTAACCTTTTCACCCATTAGGAGAGAGTGGCAGAGCAGATTCTCATAAAATCTGAAGCACTGGAGAAGAGGCTGGATTCTGGTACAGTGGTACTGGCCTTATCTCGCAATGAAGATGTATAAATGTAAAAAAAAAAGAAAAAAAAAGAAAACAGTAGGGGGAATGGTGTTATAAAACATACATATTCCTTAAAGTGTGCATTTCCTCAATCACTTTTAGCCATGTTATAATGTTGTTACCTCCTCATGGCTTTGTAACACTACCCTTATATTGAGCAAAAACAAAAAAAAATCTAGTTAACCCCCCTGACTATACAGTAATTGGAATTGAACATCAAATCAAACGTTATTGACAAAATCAAGCATCTTTGTTGCGAGCAGGAAAACATTTATAGAGAAACAATAGCCAAAAATCTAACAAAGAAAGAACAGAATAGGTCTGTCCCCAGATAATACTCAAATTTGTCTTCATCACAGCTTATTTATAAGAATTCACAACCTCCAGACAACATAACAACAACAATGTAAGTCTGAATAGCTACAAACAAAGTCTGCAAACTGCTCGGTCATTTCTGGTAGATATTTTTATCGCACTATAGCGTCAGAATATTTTTGAATGAACTTTAACTCAAGTAGCTGACACCTTTAGCTCTCCCTTGGGTAACACTAGACTAAATGAAAATTCAATGAGGTGCGGTGACGCAATCCCGATCTATACTTATAATGGGACATGACTAAGAGAATACATGAGACATCTAATCACGACTTCAGCCCAACAGCTTTAAAGGTCTCATATTGTGCTATTTTCTATTTTATAATGTTTATAATGTTGGAGTTGTGTTTTGTTCCATTCACACATTTGAGTAATCCTTTTTTATTAGTCTGTCTGCATCTCCAAAGCTCAAAATACTCGGTTCCACCTTTTGATGTCATGTGGCAATACAGGAAGAGCTCCACTGTGTTTTAAAACTCAAAACAAGGTGTATTGAGAACAGTTTGGATCATTTTAGTACTAAAGGAGCTGAAAGGAACTTGAAAATTATCACTTTATGACATCTCAAGGTGGAACGGAGCATTTTGAGCTTCGGAAATGCAGACAGAAGTGTTACTCAAACGTGTGAATGAAACAAAACACAACTCCAGGTATGCAAAACTTTGGGGGGAAGGGAGTACTACATGGATATACAGAAACTGTGCAGAATTGTTCTTTCGGTGCTCTTCAGTATAGGGACAAGTCTCAAATACAACTCCAGGTATGTTCTGAGGAGGTAACAGCATTATAACACGACAGCTTTGTGCAATATAGGACCTTTAATTGCTTGAACAGTGTCCATTCAATCTTGATTTAAATGACTTTTTAGGGAGACAGCATAATTATTCTTATGCTTGCCTTGTCAATATTACCACAAGGAGTGCCAAAATTACTGACAATGGTTGAAATGGATTGGCAACATTTATTATGAGATCACTTCTGCCTCAAAATATTGCCAAAATCTGTAAAAAAAACAACAACAACAATAAAAAAACAAAGCCAACTTGGTCGTCACATATCTAGCCATTTCAAAACAATCCTTCATACAATTCTTACTCAAATACATTCATAAATTACGTGTGTTATTTTGAGCACTCAGACTTGGTTGATTCTAGTTGGGTCAGACAGCTATTATTATTCATTGGGTCATGGGCTAAAGTGGGTTGCCAGTTTTTTATAGATCCCTCATGACGAGAAAAACTTTTTATTTCTTTTGGCAAACAGAATTGATCAAATTTGGATTCCTGGTATTTCAAATGAGGCCAGCAGTTGCATTAGACTGTCTCCTCACAGTGTAGAGTTTATCTGATATACTTTGTGGATGCGATGGCGTATCTATAGAGGTTTGTATTGATCTAATGGCGGATGGTTATCTTATACATCCTACTCTCTGAATGTCCGGAGAGGATAACATCTTGACACACACAATCTCACTCGGTCATCGCTGATAGCATCCAGACATTGCTTTTCTAATGGACCTATCTGAAGAAGTGCACCGGAGTTATACTTAAAAGCGTATGTCGAGTCTAGTAATAATAACTTTACATTACAAAATTTATTCAATCTTGCAGGCGGTCAGCAAAGAAAACAAAACAGATCTTATAAAGGCAATGCATTTGAAATGTTAAAGGGCCAACAGTCTGGAATTTGGGACATAGGACCTCATTTCCTAGTTATCCAGAGTGTTGGAGACATATGGAGACACTTTTTAAAATATTTCATCCAGTCCTTGTATTTGCAGAGGTCGCTGGTGCTAGGCTAGTGCATGTCAATGGTCATAGTTATTCTGCCACTAAAAATAGTCTTACCCACTCCACAAAACACCCGAAGCAAATCTATTATTACGCCAGACTGTCGATGTAAATGTCTGTGTTGATAGAATAATGTTTGAAATAAAACTAACCTTGCATCGCATGAATCGTCGCATGTTGAGGGACTATTTTCTCAGTGGCACCTGCTGGTAAGGTGATACGATAGGTGCTAGGTGATATCTGTCCCACTGCCAAGCTTTCTATCAGGAAGTACAACTCGCTGCCGCTGTTCAGACATAAATCCTTCAAATGCAAGGTTGGTTTTACTTCTAAAATTAACACAAACACAGACATTTACATCGACAGTCTGGCGTAATAATAGATTTGCTTCAGGTGTTTTGTGGAGTGGGTAAGACTATTTTTAATGGCAGGATAACAATGGCCATTGACATACACTAGCCTAGCACCAGTCCATCCAGTCCTCTGCAAATACAAGGACTGGATGGAATATTTTAAAAAGTGTCTCCACATGTCTCCAACACTAACTAAGAAATGCAGCCCTCTGTCCACAATTCAGGACTGTCCTTTTAAGCCATGTTATAATGTTGTTACCTCATCATAAACAAACCTGGAGTTGTGTTTTATTTCATTCACATATGTTTGAGTAAATCTTTATTATTAGTCTGTCTACATTTCCAGAGGTCACAATAATCTGTTCCACCTTGTAATGTCATGAAGCGATTTTTAAGTTAAAATCTACCTTTTACCTTTTGTTCAGTAGATAATGGCAATTTCAATTTGTATTAAGCCTAGTTTCAGTATTCTCTATTAACAGGCTGCACACAAAGCACAGTAAATAATAGAAATTGACAATTGTGTAAGTAATAATGCATTCACTTCATGTTGCATTTTTTGACACTTACAAACACATAACATTGTATTCTTCATTCTCTCCCCATCAAATTCACACATAGGAGAATAACAATGCATTTGTCTTATATAACACTTTTCCAAACACTGAAACTTAACAATTTTGTACATTATTTATTCACTCACAGTCAGTGAAAATAAGATACTATTGTAGCCACAGCTGCCCTGGGGTAGAACGACGTAAGCGAAACTGCCAGTCTGTGCTATCAGGGTTTAGCTGAGGTTAGACCGCCAACTTTCTCGCTATTATCCATCATCCTACGCTACTTTCACATACATTTCTCAACAGAATAACACTGCATTCATACTTCTTCACCATGATAATTACTAGATTGATTTATCATTCAATATATGATAGAATATTTATCATTGAGGCTTTTTCTTTGTTCTAGTGGGGATTTTTTTAAGCAATTTTCTGTTCTATGATAAGATTTGAGCCATAAGAGGTTGAATAAATAATTTCTTCAGCAAGATACAGTGCTTCGAAACTTGTTATCATGACAGGCCTAGTTATAAGAGTAGAGCATATTATCCCCTTTTATTATCTTGCATAGAAACACCCTCGATATCTTCCCCCACATGATTTAAACAGTCTTTTATTAGCACTATTGGTATAAGAGGAGTGAAGTGTGCTAATCCTATGTAGTTTCTTGTATCTCGTCTTCAGTACACCGCTCTGAGGCTGAATAACCATTAGCTCCATCCGCAGAGACAGGTGCACTATCAAACTGCTCTTCGAACTCATTTTCCACGTATGATTACTGGTGCGCCTTCAGAGCCACGCTGCAATGAGCTAGATGAAGTCTGGGGTCAATCAGACAGAATCGCATTTAAATTGAAGAAACAAAAGCATTTAGTCAAGTCTCAGTGGGTTTCTATCAATAAGGATTTATACAGGGTTGGTTTATTACGGAGCTTGCCACTAATTTCCACACCCCTGGCACAAAAAGGCTGTAATGTGTCTGATTTCTGGTATAACACTGTTCTCATGCTTAGATTGCAAAGACTAAGGTTAAGAAAGTTTAAATATTGCAACAATACAGATGTTTTAAGCTGCTCTTGAGGATAAAATACAGTAGGTCAACTGAGTACAGTCTGCATCTGATTAGAAAACATTTTATTGTCTGAGGATCAGGAGGTTTGCATTAACATGTTAGTTGTTGTTAGCTTTACCGTCACTCTAAAACATCTGCACCTGTTTTGTGGA